TTCTGTCAATATACTCTTGCTTTAATTTCCGTGAATATACTCTTGATTTACGTTTCCATCAATATATCTCAATTATATCATTGTTCATATACTATTGTTAATATTATCTTGATTATATTATTGTTGATATTATTCTTGATCATATTATTCATTTGTTCATATCATATTTCATCTTATTCATACTTTGTTCATATTATTCAAAAACACAATTAAACGACTGAAACCCTAAAATCCTAAATTGGTGGACTATGGTTACTCTTCCAAACAACGGAACTTGGAATTTATACAGAAACCCTAACGAAGGAGTTTTCGTCTGACTCTCGCTTGTGGCTTAGTTTAGGACACCTTGCACGCACACAGATTCCTCTATGGATACCGGACAATGAGACCTTTTATTTCGTGCAATCTCGTGTAACTTACATGTACCCAGCTCTCATTTTGATGTACATATTTGTATTGCTTTGATTGTGGTTTGTTTACTAGGAGCACCCCTAGGAACTAGCATAGACTAAACCATTTTCAAACTAATTCTAAATTCATCGTCGAGCCATTTTTAAACACCCTTGTAAGTCGGTTACTTGTAAGCATCGCCATCAACCTAACGCACACATTTGCATATTTCGTCATGGTTTCGTTACTAGGAGCACCCCTAGGAACTAGTATCGACTCTCACCTCTTTTTCAAACCCTTGATTCAACGTTAAGTGGTATTTTATTCAAACTAGTAAGTCAAGTGCCTTTTTCCTCGCCATCCATCTCTTTTCAACCAACCTGATTCTATCCTTTTCAAACGCTTTCTCAAACAAACTTCGAAAGAAGAAGATTCTTGGAGTCTAGCATTCCTTGGATCTTCGAGTGAATGGCTCTTGAGGTGCATGCCTTGGGTTGTTATTCTTTCAACCTTTCGTTCTTAAAACACCTAATATGTATCAAACATTTTTGCAATCAATGACGAAAGAAGAGGATTCTTGGAATCTAGAATTCCTTGGATCTTCGAATTAATGACTCTCGAGGCACGCCCCTTGGATTGTTGTTTATTCAATCTTTCGACTTTAAAATGTTCAACATTTCCTCAAACCTTTTCAATCAACTCCCAGAAGAACTAAGTTCTTGGAGTCTCGCATTCCTTGGATTCTTGAGTGACCGCTCTCGAGGCACGCCCTTTGGGCTGTATGTCATTCAATCTTTCGTTCTTAACTCAACCCTATCTTTTCGTGGTCGTATCCACGAACTACGAACGCTCTAATTCTTTATTCTCGTCCGAATAAAGATATGTATGCAGAAGATTGCAATGATCTTGGAGAGCACACTTTTTCTTTTTCCCCCGTTTACGTCACACTTCTATTCATCTTCTGTTTTCCCCCCCTATTATTTCCCGTAGTCGAACTACGAAAGCTCTGATTTTTTATTCTCGTCCGAATGAGCATACGTAGGCACAAAGGCCCCAATCCTTGGCGAGCACTCTATTCTAAAACTACCCATTTTCCCCTTAGCATCGATTCATTTTATCTTGTTGTTTCACATTTATCATTTAGAAGAAAACAAACAAGCTTAGATAACATTCATGACAAATCAAACTAAGAGGTTCCCGTTGAGTACAACGAACGTGAGTGGTACTAATACCTTCCCCTTACGTAACCGACTCTCGAACCCAGAATGTGGTTGTGACGACCATGTTCTTATCTCCTTCAAAGGTTTTCTCAATATTTTCCTTTCCCTTTGGGATAAATAAAGTTCGGTGGCGACTCTGTCGAACCGCATTTCGCGCCTTTTGCGCGAGGGTCGTATATCTCGATTGTATTTTTCGAGGTGAGACAAATATATGATTTAATATAATTGTCAACATCACGAGAACCTACAAGGTCATGCACATAAGGACAAATTGATGAGAGATAGAATAAATAAGGAACACTGTAAGGTACGGTGTACTTGAGAGAATTATGGAACACCGTAACGTACGGTGTATTTAAGTGAAATATGGAACATCGTATAATATAATAATAAGAGTTATTATTATTATTATTATTATTATTATTATTATTATTATTATTATTATTATTATTATTATATAATAAAATATGTTTATTGTAATAATGGTTATTATTATTATTATTATTATTATTATTATTATTATTATTATTATTATTATGTGCACTTCAGTTGGACTTTTTAGCTTGCAGCCCACACAGGTGGTTATATAAATACAACCATTGTGTAGAAATTTTAGAACTTGATAAAATTCAGTTGGTTAAACCCTGACCGTTTTTCTCTCTTTCTCTCTCTCACTCAAAGTTTTCATTCGTAGTAGCTAGCACTTGTTCGTGTGGATTGAGTATAGGCGTTGTTCTTCATTCAATGCTCATGATCATTCATCCGGATCAGCATCAAAATTGTTAATCACCACAATAGGTAACTTTTTCTATCACTGATCATGCTTATTCCTAAGGATCACTAAAGGGAAAATTTTAATTTCCGCTGCATTTTGGATCGTGATTTCCCTTCACATTGAAGTTGCTTGAAGCTTCTCTCTCAGTTCCCTTAGTATCGCTCAAACCTTTGTAAGATCATGTCGTCTGCCTCCGTATATGTGTGTGAAGCATTCCTAACCCTTAGTTCTCATTTTTAACTAAGTACGAAGAATACAAAGTTGTGTTTTTGCGTAGTCCTTCAACTAGTTTAGGGCATTGAAAGTTACTAGTAATGGTCCTATAAATACATTAAAAAAAATTTGTGCGCACCTTGCAGCTCAGGCTGGTCCCATGTGTTTTTCCTCAATTTGTTAAGTATTTTTTGAATATTATTTTAGTGTTTCTTTTTCCCTCAATTTATACATTGTTTTTGTCTTGTACTGAAATGGAATATAATAATCTAAACTATTGATTATACTTGCCCTAAATTTAGTTTTGGTTTGTAAAATATGGATAGTATATGTTTGTGTTTTTATATTGTATTTGACCTAAATATAGTATTATTGTTCCATTAATGCCAAATTTGACCCTTAACATATGTATTATGTACATGACATAGGTTAATTTAAGGCGGCATTCTTCATCAAAGTTGTTTTGCAAAAGACCATAAGTTAAAGTATGAAGGTGGGAAGGTTTAGGCATATAATGGACAAGATTCTTGTGACCTAGTTAAGGGGATAGACTCTGAGTTTGATGTTAAGGTTGAGAAATTATCTTATGGGGAGGTTTGACAAACTTAGGGGAAAGGTAGATAGGTATAAAGGAGAAATAATGTCTAAACCTCATGGGAGATTAGATGGAAAGATAAAAAAACAAATGCAAATTAGACTGCAAAATATGCAGGGAGATTAACATTGCAAGTTGCACATGAGTTCTTTATTCATAGCTTTGTCGTTGACTTGAAAAAGCACACATGTTCATGTAACTTTCAGAATTTGATTGGGATACCTTGTAGACAAGGTGTAACTACAATTCATGGGAAAGTTGATGATCCTATTAAGTATATCGATGACTAATATCATATGAAAACATATGTAGAATGATATGATGAAGGATTCACCCCTTTAAATGAGCAAAACAAATGGCTCAAGATCACGAATCTTGTAATATTGCCTCCAATGTTCAAACGTGGACCGAGAAGGCAAAAAAAAAACCTCATATAAGGGAATCAAACAAGGCAAGCAAAGCAAAATGGAAAAGATCAAATAAAAGTCATGGGTGCAATGTTCAAACGTGGACCGAGAAGGCCAAAAAAAATCTCGTATAAGGGAATCAGACGAGGCAAGCAAAGCAAAATGGAAAAGATCAAATACAAGTCACGCGTGCAAGAAGTGCTTAGAATATGGACACAATAATAAGACATGCAAGAAAGACAAACAAGTTATGATTGTCCCATGTAAAAATACAACAGATGATCGCGTGTTTGTTGAACCACTTACACATGCAAGCCAAATTACAAATGTGCGAATAGCACCAAAGAAAAGGGTTAGGTTTTAAACTTATCTAATATTTAAATGTACTACATAATTATGTATTAACACTTTCTGTATATCTGTCAGGGGAGGCCTAAACGGTTTGTGAATGATAGAAGAAGTCAGAGACCTGCATTTGTATTGAAAAAGAAAAGGGGTTAACACCTGTGCTCTTTATCTCAAAAAGTCAAAAGCTGCATTGGAAAAGAAAATGGTTTTCCTGCACCTGCAAAGCACACTGAAACATCTACATTTCATCTACATAGCACACTTAAACACCTGCATGCAACAGTGAAACACCTGCATAGAACACTCAAGCACCTTCAGAGCACACTCACAACACAGGCACATTCACGAGTATTTGTCAATCATAACTTTGGCCAATTCACGAGTATTTGTCAATCATAACTTTGACCAAGGGTTCTCATTATAATAGGTTAGTCTCTTAAACTTAAAAGTGAATATGTGGAACATAGTTGATTCAAACTCGAGCTCATAGAATCTGATATCCTTGCACAACTATCAACTGAATAAACTTTATAGCTCTGTCGAATTACTTTATAAAATAACTAATTGTGATGGTTAGCTAAAATTTAATGAGGTGAATAAAAAGATTATTGCTTTCGTGGAATAATTGTTAAAAACAACATTTTTTAGCACCTGTAAATTGGAAAAGATAATTTTTTTGGTCTGCATATTTGTATTAGATGTTGATAATTTTTGTTTAAGATTGTGTGTGTCTTGTGACAGGAACATCTATAACAAAGGAAAACAGATCAGTAAAGCAAATGGCAATGTAATAAGTTAATCAATCCAAGCAAAACTGTTTTTTACAAAACATGTAATTATTTCTTGTCAATGGTGAGAGTTTTAGCTAATTCACACTGTAAAACAACATACACATGCCTAATGACAGTAGAAACCTTCACCTAGCTAATACATCTTTCTATATAAACGTATACATTAGATACCAAAGATCTTGATTCTCATCTACCACAACCGACGCCCTCAACCTACAATCTCAATAGTCAATTGATCATCAAGTAATCACACAATTTACATCAATCATCAACAAACAATGCATCAAGGAGGTTTGAAGATGAATTGCAGCTCTCGGTCTCCTCGAAGAAACCATTGGCAGCATTTTCTCTTCTGGCTTTACGCTCTTCGATGATAGAATCTTCTGTTTCTGTGCAGTAATTTCGTCGACCCTGTTTCGCTGGTCTTTCGGCCACAACAAATTTATTTCCATCACGAGATCTCTCAGCAAAACCTGCCCAGACTGATTAAAAAGAAGGAACAAGTTAGACACTACAAGATGCAGTTGGGAAGGATAGTTTACTTGACAGTCTGCACTATTTGTGTCAAAAGCAAGTGAGAATGTAATTGGAATATATAATCCATAAAACTGTCTGAAATATAATTTTCCAAAATCATAATATAATGAAAAGAATGGCACATACACAACAAAGGGAACTCACATCCACGCAGGAAGTACTGCTAAAAACAGTTATTAATTACCATTTAGCCGAACTTGCACCAGTTACAGAGTAATTTATTATGAATAGCAATTGTTCCAAAACCAAGCCATAATAAGAACACTGGAACTAGCCAACTAGGGCTGACATTGTATAAAAAAGCTCCAACAAACACAAGAATGCAATTTGGTGCTGCAAAACTCTAAAAAAATGACAAGGTTTGGGGACAGGTCGGGTCCATTGTGACATTTTAGTTGAGCAATAGCAACTCAAACTGCTCTGTCAAATTTCCCATTCAATAACTTTAAAACAACACATAAAAATTTCCATGACATTCTGTCGTAGGGGTAAGGGTACGCTAAAATACTACCACCACCACTAAAACTCTTCCCACTAAATAGGACTAGCTACATGGATTACATGATCATGATATACAATCTTTGTTAATAACTTATTGTGCTGACTAAAAAAATTAAACATTGTTCTTTTTGTCGTGCTATGATAGGCTCGGGAAATTCTGCATTTGAGTATGTGTACAATTAATTAGTTATCAATGGTGGGCTGGAAAATAGTGAAACGCTAAATATTCACTACGTAGCAGGTAGCGTTGAAAGTAAATAGCAGTTGAAATAACTCAATTATATATACAAAGAAAAGACACGTTGCATAAAATAAAAAAGAAAATGGAGACAAACATACTCACATATTGAAAGATTTACATATTACGGTGAGTATAGGATTAGTACTCCGTGACTCTTCTGTTTTTCTATTTTAAAAATAGGCTCCTGTAGTTCTCTCCTTTCTGCTATTGACACTAAATCCACTAGAAAAACCTGGAATAGCAGATGTTATTGCCTTAATCGTGGAACTGGCACAGCGTCATTATGTCATTTGTGTGACGATCATGGTGTACATTGTTTAGTTTAACTATGTTGAAAATTGAAAACTCATCCATGAATTTTTCGCCCCATATTCAATCCCACACTAAAATGTCCCTTAACTAACACACCCTCTTAACATAGTATCAAAAGCCATGTTTAAGATCTGTTGGATCAACTGTTATCATGTTTCCGCCATCAGACCACTCTTCCACACTCCAGATGTCGGCAATCCTCACCTTACAAACCAGGTTTGAGTTAGGCCCAACCATACATTCTTAATTTATGCAAACATAAACATAAACCATTTTTGCCTAACTCGCTTTTAACTCAAATCAATTCTATAATAAAAGTTCATTAAAAACTAGTGACCACAACCTTTTATCTCAAAATTAGTCACTGAAAAATATAAAATATCATAATCATAAAAATGAACATTTCCATCGTAATACAAGCATATAGATACATATTAGCATGCATATTAATTCCCATAAAATTAATTTCAGTATTGACGAATGAACAAAACAAAAATACCTCCAAATTGATGCAGTACAATTGAAGCGGCAACAGTAACATTCAACGAAGCAGTACCACAACCATACTGCGGAATATAAACAAAAAAATCACAAATCTCACATTCCTTAGTAGAAAGACCAGAACCCTCGTTACCAAGCAAAAAGGCAGTACTTTTCTTGAAAGGATGCTGATTCACAGGTAGAGCATCGTGCGTGATCTCAACGCCGCAGATATCACAGTCTTTATCCTTGAGAAACTGTCGAGCTTCTTGGAGAGAATGAAAATGTCGAAATCGGACATGGTTTGATGAACCGTGGTTACCGAAACTGTTGAAATCTCTGCGACCGACGAGAATTAGTTCGGATACACCGAATGCTGTTGCGCTTCGTGCCAGTGTTCCAACGTTGTGTCTCTTTGCTACGTTGTGTACCACTACGTAGCTTTCCAACGCCATTTTGTTGTTGTTTCAATCAATTTCAATTCTCTATTATCAGTTTTGGAACAGTGCAAATTGAATAAGAGAGGTGAGGATTTATGGTAGGTGTTTGTTTGTTTGATTGTTGCAGAAAAATGGCTACGGCGTTAACCAGGGTTTCCCACTTCTCACCCCACTTCCAAATTTCAACGAGAAGTCAAAAGACAAAACTATCCTTTCTTTCTGTTATTTTGGGTCCAAAAATCGGCCCAACTTCGCCTTTGCTACGGCCCAAACTTACTTAAACTTGGTTTTTGCAATAAACAAAAGAAAAAAAATTCTTAATACACCTATAAGTTATCCACTATGCAAAAATAATAAAATACTCTTTAGATTTAGGAGATACATCTCCATATGTACTATACACTAATGTTATGGCACATCAAATGAGTGTCACCCTAAATGAATACTAAACAAAATTCGGAGGTGCATCTCTGGATATTTTCAACAAGTATAATGAAATTTAATAAGCTCAGTGGTTATTCCGGAGATGCGTCTTTGGAAGTTTGGGAAGGGATTTTAAAATCTACTGTCAACTTTGCATGTCAGATACTTCCGAAGATGCATCTCCGAAATAATTTGATAAAACACAGACCTGCATGATTACACACTCATACTTGTTTTTCACTCAAAACCCTCACAAAAAACTTTCATTCTCAATCCACATTTTCACTCCAAATTTTCAACTTTGTGTTTTATCACATTAAAGGGAACAAAAGAGGTGGGATTTCAGGTAAAGATCATTTATTTCAATCCTTATTTCTGACATTAAGCTTGTTTTCATTATGAAAAACGAGCGTTATTTCCAGAGATACATTTTTTAAACGAGTATGAACTTACTCGAAAATGTATTTTCGATATTTGACTGCGATCATTTTTTCAGTTCTACTTTCAGTATTATTTCTTATTTATTGTTATATGGTAGTTGTTTTTATTAGATATGGTGCACCCCGATATTTTGTCTAAACAAGTTGTGTCTCCCACTATTAAAGGTGTTACTGTGAAGGCAGTAGATATTGGCAAGCAATTTAAAAATGAGCAAGAGTTTGAATCTTGTGATCACATGCTTCAATAGATTTGTACGAAGGCCTCTAAATTGGGATTTGGTGTGGTTATCGGAAGGTCCGATAATGTTTTGGATAAAGGATGTGCTTTTGTGACAATGACGTGCGAAAGAAGCGGGAGATATAGACCTCCTCTATGGAATTTTAAATGAGACGACACTGGCTCAAGAAAACATGAGTGTCCCTTTAAGGTGCGTGGTTATGTGGTGGCAAACAAAAACTAGAGATTTAATGTCATGTATGGTTTGCATAACCATGATTTGCGTGAAAAGTTAGTCGGTCGTCCAATTGTGTGTCGGCTCACGCCAGGAGAGAAGGAATGTGTTGCTGACGTGACATTGAATTTGGTTTTCCCGAAAAATATACTTGCAATATTGAAATGAAAAAGACCTAAAAATATCTCATATATCAAGTAAGTGTACAATATTCGGTACCAAACTAACAAGGTGCTGAGAGGGCATATGACTGAAATGCAACAACTCTTGAAACTGTTGGATGATAACATTGTGTGTCTAGGTACCGTACGTGCGAGGCTGGAGTTACCGATAGGTTTATATTTTGGACTCATCCGGATTCTATCAAGTTGTTCAACATGTTTTCTGCCGTGCTCATACTTGATTCTACCTACAAGACCAACAAGTATAGACTTCCATTATTAGAGATGGTTGGGGTTATCTCTATTAAGAAAACCTATTTTGTCGGGTTTGCATTTCTAGAGAATGAAAAAGAGGAGAATGTTACTTGAGCCTTAGAGGTGTGTCGGACACTATTGAAGGACCAAGAAGAAATGCATAAAGTGATTATTACCGACCATGATACCGTTTTAATGAATTCGGTTGCAAAGGTATTTCCTACTTCTTACGCATTACTTTGTAGGTATCACATAACAAGGAATATGAGAAGTTGGGTTAAAATCGCGGTAGGGACGAAACAGATAGAGCCTGAAAATGGAAAAATGGTGAAGGCGGTGTGGTTGTGGAAAAAAGTATGGATACATGGAATCGTATAGTAAATTCTTCCACTAAAGAATTATATGTCGATTTTGTTATACATTTCAAGATAGTGTGCAAAAAGTATCCTGATTTGTTGAAATATGTTGAAAGCACAATTCTTGACCAGGTGAAGGAGGAAATTGTTTGTGCTTGGATTGATCAAGTTAGACACCTTATAAATACAACAACTAACCGAGTTGAGTCTGCCCATGCTACATTGAAGAATTGGGTGGGAAATAGAAAAGGCGATTTGTGTAGAGATCTGGACTCCATGAACCAAACTATTCAGAACCACCATGATGAGATACAAACATCATTTGGTCAGAGCGTCACAGTTTTGGAACACGGATTTAAAGACAACAATCTTTATTCTCAGTTGGTCAGAAACATATCTCATGCGGGTTTGAATTATATTTTTCATGAGGCTAAACGAGCTGATAATGCAGGCTTCAGTAGCGCAAAGTGTGGATGCACAATTGTGAAAACATATGGTCTCACATGTGCTTGTGTTATTGCAAAAAAAGGTGAAATTTAGTAGCCCGGTAAGAATGGATGAGGTTTCCACTCACTAGAAGAAGCTTCGGTTCGATGATAATGGTGTTATGAAAGACAGTAAATTGAATATATCTATCTTGACCGAATGAGAAGTGATACAAGTGAGGTTTTTGAAAGCCTGTGACAATATGAAACTACACATCAAAGAACAATTGAGGAATATTGTTTATTCATAAACAATCGACTAGAAACCACCCTTTCAACTGGTAAAAGTAAAAGGTGATCCGAAGAAACTTAAGCCTACTTCGAATGACAATTTTATGACACGGTCTTATACCTTATGGGGACAATAAAAAAATTATGAAGCTCGAGTACCGTTCACCTTTGTTTTACAACGGAGGGAAGGCTGGGTTCAGCAACTTTGAGCTCAAGACGGATGCAGGTGTAAGGGTTATGTGGAATACATATTTCCGTTTTGAAACAAAAGTTCTGCTCGAGTTGCAAGTGACGATTTTAAGATCGATCGAAGATATTTTGAAGATGTTGAAGTGTCCGCCTAGATATTGAAGTGTATTGTTGCATTTTATGTTGAAATCACCTATGTAATATTTATTTTAGGTTATGAATGTTAATTCCATTTTGTCAAATTACAAGTTATTTGTGTCTTCCTCTGCCATTGCTTTGCAGACGTTATGCAAATGTATTTACGGAAATATACCAGAGATGCATCTCCGGTATGAAAAAAAACAAATAACAGAGCGTCACTCAGAATAGCCTCCATTGTGTGTGTGCATTGGTGCGTCTGGAGATGCATCTTTGGAATCTGAGGGGCATTTTAATATTTTCATATGGTGCGTAAGTAACATATAAGTTGCATTAAGAAATCCTCAAAAAAAAGTTGTAGTTGATAAACTTGTTGATATTTGAAATAACGGATAAAAAATAATTGATACAAATTAGGAAAATTTTCATTCCATCCTATGCCTTTAAAAACTCAAAAATGTATTTATTGGTGTCCGAAAATTCATCTCAGAATGCATCTAAAATCACATCAGTCCTCATAATTCAGCCTTGCACCCTATTTTGCCAAAATATGGTCCTAATATATATCTATGTAAATTAATTAGGGTGGATTCAGAAATACATCTTTGTAAACCCTCCGAAATTCATTTTAAGCTATTGGAAACGTGATTTGTATATAACAGAGGATATTTCATAGATGCATCTTAGGAAACCTCCTGAATGCTTTCTAGGTAGCAACATCGTCCTAACTTTGATATTTTTGTAGGCCAACTTATATTTTAGGTCATTTTAAGCCATAAACTAGAAAATGCATACATTAGTTGATTCAAACATACTACACATACATTAAAAAAAAGTCACACATTAATTTAATTTAATTCAAAATGTATCAATCATACATAACTTGTTCTGAAATTACAAAAAATAATACAATCAAACATAAAATATTATGTATGTTTAACTCACGGCCTGCCCACCTGTACTGCAAGGCATCATGGGCCTCAGCAATAATGCCTTTTAAGAGATTTAACTATGAACTGCCTTCCTAAAAAAGTCTTGCCTTTATGCCCGATCTCGCCATATCCATAATACGTCAACAAGCGCTGGGTGTGGTCATCCGTAGCCTCCAATACCTCCTGATTAGATGGTTTAGGTGATCTTTCAAGAGCGTCTAGTTCATTATAGGATGTGACACCCTATAGAACCATGTGATGTAGTTATCTGTATAAGCTCATTGTACATAAGATGACACCCTACAATAGTCATATAGTACCAAACAAATTTTGAGATCCTCAAGAATGGCGTAAAGATCTCAGCGGTGGATAATAGAATGAGAAAACTTTGAGGGGTGTCTCGAAATAACTTGCAAATACCTAAAATGGTACATCACTTGCTCGGGAAATATGCATACATCAGACCTAGCCCATAAGCCTGCCATTCAGAGTATAATGAAATGACGTCCAGCTGACGCACTTGGCAGTGACCCTCTGTCACACCCTAATTTTTGACCTTAAGATCCCACCTCTTTGTTGTTTTTCTTTCTTTCTTTATTGCTTGTTTTATTTTACTTTTATATGTATGTTTATTACGGCTAACCAGTTTTACGCAGACAACAAGTTAAAGTGTAGGTCAAATCATTTCTCCCATTACGTGTTGAGTTTAGTCGTTCAAGACTAGTTATGGTTGCGTGGCAAGCAAGGTTGCATCTTTAGGATCGAGAAAAGAGTCTGAATTGATAAATCGGGAGCAGTGTTGCTTGGAAACAACAAAGTTTAAAGTGCGTTGAATCAAGTTTGTGCAAGTTATCGCCATAAACTGAGTCGAGACTCATAAAATCCGCATCATCGTTTGAACTTGTGGAAATTGCAATGCTTAAATTGTGGAAGAAGATACGAATGGTTCAATT